ATAAAGGTCTCATAAATATTATTTTGGGTGGTTCACATAAGCTACACCAACTGAAATGACTCGTAAAGGAAACGTACAAACCGAGTGGGCGGAAGGTTAACCGATCAGCAGCTTCTTTTCCAAACTTGTAATAAAGCGCTGCACGGCACTTCATTGGTAAGAGCAACTCTGTTCGTTGTTTTAAAATATTTAAATAGCTTTTAATTGTAAAATCAAAACATTATGCAATTTTGTTTAAAGCCTCCTCGTGTGGTCGTCTTGCTCAACTTGCATGTTTTAGACTTGTTTTAACAGTCAAGTATGTCCATAAGGCTTATTATCATTTATGCTAAAGCTTGTGATAATCCGTTGTATTTCGTACTTGTATGTAGAATCCGGTCGGTGAAGTATCTGCGCATAGCTCCCTGCTGTGATTTCAGTTTAAGTACAGTTGTATCGTAAATTGCATAAATCATATTTATTTTAGTAATAACTAAAGTAAATTTTAATGTTTTATTTGAACACTAGTTGCATTATGTGTGCTATTATCTGAAATGTAATATATTGAACACAGCTGCATTTTTGTCTTGTTAGTTGAAAGATCACACAAGTGTTGAACAGGAAATGACAAAGAAAATCCTTCATACATTTTTTCCCCTCGCTCTGCTAGGTAGGTGAGACAATGTTTTGTTTTTTTCCACCTCTCTTTCACACCCACTCTGTTGTATGAGACCACCGTGCACAGTATAGTTTGCAGCAATATGTTAGATGTGGGTGCACTTTTCTGAGTAAGCAAATTAACAGTTTTTTTAATAGAGGTGTTATTTTCCATATATTGTTTAGTGTTGGTGGCTTAGGCAATTTATGCAGAACACTGATAATTGTGTACATCATTAAATGAGTATAGTGTTATTTTGCTGCATTTTGTAGTGTATCACATTGTAATGTCCACTATTAAAATATCTATATTACATGTGTTTCTTTTCTATTAACCACCTTCTTCTTCTTCGTCATGGTCGTCGTGTGTCAAGCTATGGTTAGTGCTGTTGAAGGTAAGAAAGATTTGCGTTTTGGTCGGCATGTTCATTATTTGTTCAGTCACTTGCGTACAGTTCAAATCAGTCATATCGATTCCTTAGATAGGCTACTCGACAGACTCCTGCACAATCATTTGTACCTGTTTACATTTGGTCTCATGAATGTATTAAACAGGGTGTACGGGTGTTCTTTCTCATAGACAAAGGCTTATGTTATGGAGTCGGTTCTGGCACTATAGCAGGGATTATATTCGCTGATGTTGCTGTGACGGTCCTCATTGTTACTACCACCTACTGGTATGCTAGCAAGCGCAGACAAAAGAAAGAAAACGGTGAGATATTACATAGACACAACACAAATTTTCTTTAGCAATCCTGAAATAGCCATATCAGTGCACAGAAATATTTAACATGCATGTGCTCATGTGTTTCTTTAGCTGACGAAGTCTACATGAATGTCAGAGCAAACTGCAAAACATGAAGATCTTTGGAAGACTGACATGAACAATGGAAGACTTGCTGACACTCAATAGCATACGACATTTGATCGTAGATGATTTATAGATGATTTATATTTTAAATTACCACAGTTGAAATATAGCTTAGCCTACGGCTCTCTGCACTAACAGTGCTCATATCTTAGTTGCTTTGTAAATAAGATCAAATTACCTTATTTATGTCACACAAAATCATACCGAGAACTCTATAATACAAGTAATGGAACTCTGTCTAGCACATTATCAACAGCAATAAATGCAGTGAAAGAAAAACACTGACACCTAGTGGATAATTCAGACCTGCTACTATTTTCTTCCACTAGAACAGAGGTGCCCAAACATTTCAATGCGAGGGGCCAATCATTCAACTGGACTAAACGTGAGCCAAAAATAAATGTTACATTATATCCAGCTATACAATATTAAAATGTATTAAATGTATTTTTTAATCATTACATTTAAGTTTATATTTAACTAATATTTTTATTTACATTAAATGCAAACAATAAAAAAAAGAAAAAAAAGATCAATTAGAAATTAAGGTTGTTAGTTTTTTTTATGTTTTTTTAAAAATAATAATTATTTCTTTCCTCTTGTGATGTGGCATGGCGGGCCAAACAGCGGACCCTGGTTTGGGTATTTCTGCCCTAGAAGACCTCCTTTTCCTCTTTTCATTTTTTTAAAAAAGGTGTGCAATTATGCATTATGATCCTAAAGGTGTCAATATAAGAGCCAGGACTATATAAAAGACACCCTCTTAGTTTGTTTGCAACAGGTTTATTAGTAAGATTTGAGTCTATGGCTTTATAGCTGAATAAGCAAAGGTGGGAGTTCTTATATCCTGCTGCACTGTTTTGCATACAAAACTTTTTAGTTTCTATGCATATAACAACAATTAATAAATCTCAGATCTTCAACAAAAGTAGATTTGTGAATTTATTTGATCTACAACCCCAATTCCATAAAAGTAGGGTCATTTTGTGAAATGCCATAAAAACAAGAATATGTTATTTGTTCATTCTCTTTAACCTTTATTTAATTGACTGAAGTACAAAAAAAATTCTAATGTTTTCATTGGCCAACTTAATTTTGTTTTGTAAATATAAACACGTTTTGATTTTGATGGCTGCAGCACACTCCAAAAAAGTTGGGACAGAGACATGTTTAACACTGTGTCGCATCAACTTTCCTTTTAATTAGAATGTTTAATTGTTTGGGAATTGAGGATACTAAACAGTTAAAGTTTTGCAAGCAAAATTTCCGTCCAATCTCGCTTGATACAAGACTTCAGGTGCTCAGCTGACTGTAATCGTCGTTGTCTGATTCTCCTTTTCATGATGGGCCATACATTTTCAATAGGAGACAGATCCGGACTGCAGGCAGGCTAGTCTAGCACATTCACTCTGTGTCTACAAAACCACGCTGTTGTTGCACATGCAGAATGAGACCTGGCATTGTCTTGATCTAATAACCATGGACTCCCCATGAAAGACGTCATCTTGATGGCAGTATATGTCTCTCTACAATTCCAATGTATGTCACACATATGTCACCCATGCTGTTTGCGCCGCTGCACCACCATAGCATGACAGACGTTTGCTTTTGCATCTGATGAAAATCTGGATGGTTCCTTTGGTCTTTGGGACTGAGAAGTCGACGTATATTTTTTCTCAGAAACCAGTAGAAATGTGGACTCATCTGACCACAGCACACATTTCCACTATTTTTGACTATCTAAGATGAGCTCTGGCCCAGAGAACCCCGTGGCATCACTGCATAGAATTGATGTATAGTTTTCTCCTAGAGTGACAGATTCAAGTTGCATTTATTGATGCAGCGGCAGACTGTGTTAAGTGACAGCATTTTTTTCCCCGAAGTACTCCTGAGCCCATCTGGCTATATTTAAGACCGCAGCATGACAGTTTCTTACGCACTGCCATCTGAGGGCTCAAAGGTCATGCACATTTAACTGAGGTTTCCTGCCTTGCCCTACACAGACTGAGATTTCTCTGGATTCCCTGAATCTTTTCACAATATTATGTATGGTAGTTGTTAAAAGACCTAAGTTCTTTGCAATTTTGCAATTAGAAATGTGATTTTTGATTTGTTTGACACTTCTCATGAAATGGGTCACAAAGTGATGAGCTATGGCTTGGAAAGACTGAGATGCTCCTTTTATATCCAAACATGACACCCTCACCTATTACTTACTGTGAACTCTTTCAAAACAGTTTAACGTGGATAATCTATAACCTTTTCACTTTTATTTTGCCTCTGTCCCAACTTTTTTGGAGTGTGTTGCAGCCATCAAAATCAAAATTTGTTTATATTTACAAAATACATTTAAGTTGGTCAGTGAACACTTTGGAAATCTTTTACATAAGCGTGTCATTTTTTGAGTATTGTTATAAATATGAAAAGTAATAAATGACTGTGATCTGGAATCTCCCAGAAATTCCTGTCCAAAACAAGCACAAGAGTGTGACTCTTCCACTGAAAAAAAAAGAAAAGAGGAAATAGAAATTCTTTACAAGCCAATTTTCATCACATAAATTTCTACATTTATTTGCACTTAGGCTACTCAGTAATGATAGATATTATGTTGGAGAACTTAATTTAATGCTTTAACAAAATGTTGACCCCCTCCCCCCCCCCCCCCCCCCTCTCCCCATGTCCATTGATATGTATTTACAATCTACAAATTATTTTAAATACACTCAATGCATAAATATAAACATCACAAACACTTTTTTGCATGTTTTAAGTTATGTAACTATGCAGGATAATCTTTACAAAGCTCATGTGCTTTAAGGTACTGTAAGGCAAAGGTCATTTATCTGTCGGACTGAGATTTAGGAAAACAGTACCTCATCAATTTGTCCGTCTACTAAACAAGGCAGGTCTTCAGGTGAAACTGAACTACACACTCCTGTATCACTGATGTAAAAACCAACATCCTTTTTTAAATAAAAAGATATTGTAAGTGGAACAGGATATAAGTTTTGCTTTGTACCTGTTTAGGGTTATCAGATACTGGCTTTAGTAGTCACATCCTGTGCTGTGAGGCTTTTAACCGCATTAACACCCAGGTCCCTCTCACTAGCCTCTTGCTCACATATCTAACTTACTGAGAAGTGAAACTATACATTTACTAAGAAGGACATACGGAAACGCATATATTTTCAGCTGCATGTAATGTAAATGAACTGTATGCTCACTGTATGATTTAGTTTTCAATTTACTTTTGTACTTTAAACTTAGAAGTATTTTAACACTAACAGGATAAAATGTAAAGAAATTCAATCCTGAACTAGGTTGTGTGTGTGGGTGAGAGAGCGAGAGATAGCACATCAGCACGTGTAGCTCCTCCCCAATAGCCTTTGGTTCTATTTTGATGGATGGCGATAAGTCATCAGCACATACTCTGTGATTTTTCACACACAGGCAGTTTCCATATCATTCAGTCTCATATTCAAGGTGTTTTAGCTCACGGGCAGAAAGACTTCTTGTGCTCTTTTAAAGAGACCTCAAGTCAAGGCTTCACCAACCCTGAGCAATTCTCTCCCAAAACCTGTACTCATTATGAGAGGGATTCTATACCTAATGGTCCCAATGAATGGACTACTCGGTGAGTGCATTTTGCAAACTTTCACATAACTCATAAGGTTTTAAGATGAAATGAACTTCAACATATTTTATATATATATTCTTCACAAATTAAATGAAACAGATTTTGGCATCATTTTCAGCACTACAATCAACAAGATAATAGAGAAAGCATAACCAGATATCATTTTTTTAAGTTACACACCACATGAGTAGTGTTGTATTTTCTGTATTATATACTTTATTGTATATTCTACATTAAATATGTATATATTAAGTATGCACGTATATTGTATAATGTCTGTAATAGTATATATCATGAATATATTTTTATTTCTGGAAAAACCTGAAAAAAAAAGGATTCCAGCCAATATAAATATAAAGCTGTATAGGTTTAACGGGGTTGTGAAAAATGGAATTACAGAATTATTTGTGTATGTGTTTTGTTTGTGGATTTATATGAACTCATTGATTAATGCAAGAAATCAAGAGGAAATGGCATTTTCAGTTCTGTTAATTGCCTTGAGAACACGCTATTATAAAAATGTATCTTCCCTCTCTTCTGTTCTCACTTTCATCAGCTGGCTTTGTTGAGGGGAATCAAGGTAATTCCGCCATAGATATCTGAAATTCAGTTTTTGATTTTTTTTTTCTTTCTTGTTTTGGCATGTTACAATGAATGTGCCAATGTGTTTTTCTGATTCTCAGACTGCACTTCATGTTACCAGTTGGACATTGGAGTGGCTATTGGGATCATCACTTGTGACATCATCCTCACACTCCTCATTGCTCTCTCAGTCTATTGTTTCATTTCCCATCAGAAAAGAAGAGGCAGTTTACATACACATGCCAGGTGCTGTGGGTCAGGTATGTCTGTTTGTAAGAGAAATCAATACAGAATTACAGCTGTTCCAGTCAAAATGACAACATTTTTCTGATGTTTAAGGTAAAGCAAAAACTCACCAGCCATCAATGAGGCCAAAGACGATTGAAATGGAATCACCTTATCAGGTAAAATGAGCAATTTCAGCTATGTGTTTAATGTACCACAAAACGTTGTTTTTTTATCTACAAAACTAAAAATAAAGTAGTATTTATAGTAAATGCAACATATTTGTGAGATTTTTTTTCATAATGATTTGACAGGAACTTTATGGAGTCCAATCAGACATATACAGTGATCTTCAGCAGTATCGGAAATGAGGTGACCATGTGAAATAATGTTAATCGTGAGTCGTGTGAAAACTTAAGAATATTTGGAGGTTGCATACGTTTCTAAACTGCCTGTCACAAATATGTATTTGGTATAAATAAGCTACAATAATTAATTTATACAAAATTCCTTATACTTTGAATCCATGTGATTGGTCATGTGGCGTTTATGCAAACCATGAATAGAATTTGTAGTTTTTAATATCACTGTAACAATTGTTTCCATCTGTAATAGTTTTATTTATTCAAAACCTTTGTAATGGAATTAGATCAGAATATAATTCCCTTGCTCTTTATGTAGAAATAAATGTTTTGTTTTGATTGTGTGGTCTTATCTGGATCATTTCTTTACCTACTTTTATAGACAGCCGGTGGATGATGGATGAAGCCACACTCAAACATGCACTGTTTTTATTTTATTTCCCCAAGTGGCTACAGAAGTAGATGCAGTGTAGCGGACCTGTTTAGAAATCCCATGACCACAGTGAATCAGTTAGACAAAACGGAAATACTTTGCTTTCTTATGTCCTGACTTTTAAGTCCAGAGTTTTACATTCTGGATGCTATACTTTCTACTTCTTATGGGCATTTTCATTATTGCCGATTTATTGCTCTGTGTACGTAAGCCAAGTGTGATAATATTAAAACAAAGAATATCAAGGAAATGAAACTGAATGGTGCTTGACTTTTGGCTTTGCACAGAGAGCAATTTAAATTGCGCTCTTAGCTTGAGTGTGACCACTTCCAACGTCCACAAGAGTGCACTATTATTTCAGTGTGCTACATAGCCTATGTTACATTTAGCCTACTGTAAATTCTCTCAGATCTATCATTCATGTTTTATTTTGAGGCTTAATTCTTTGCCGCTTACAGTAATGATGATGCATGATTGATCTAGGCCTAACAGAATCAATATCTCGCTTGTCGTTACACTAATTGACGTTTTAGTGAATATTCTGAGAAACCTAAGTAGGCCTGCCAATATTTATTTCAAATGGGTCTCACATGCTGGACTAACATCCAAGGCTGTCGAAATTTAAATGGAGATTTAAGACATGAGCCGTCAGACTGTTTATCAAACAATGAAAATGATAATTCTCCCCAGCATAAACAACTTAAATCATGCTTTGACATAATTAGTCTCGCGTGGCCAGACCTTTTGACTGATGGCAGAACGCTATGACATTATATGCCAAAACAGAGCTCGAGCTGTGAAGACAGCTTTGTGTTGATTTTCAAGCAGCCTAACAATTATTAATAACAGATAAGAAATGTTGACAGCCTCCTGTTGACTGATAGCATAGGTATTGTATAACAGTTTTTGATAGCCTACTGTATTACAAACTATTGCTCCAACATGACAGTGCTTAACTGAAATAGAAAACTGATGGTAAAGAAAGACGTTACATTTATACTAATTCCTGCTATCCCGTTCCTTACGTCAATGGTTTGGGCCTAATGGTAAGTGTTTTCTACATTTTAAATCAACTGTATGCGTGTTAGTCATTCAGCACAGTTTTTTTCTTCCACATGGCTGGTATTCTCCCTCTCAGTTCTGCTGGATGTAGGAAAAGGCAAATACAAACTAAACTTTGAATTTAGGATTATTTCGACAATTACAATTTGAAATCAGTGGCATGTATCAGTGCATATTTCATGATTCTGTCTTAAAGCTATTGTTTGCGGGACACATGGACAAACAAAGGGCGTTCAGATGAAACTAGGTTAGGCTAATCTTTTAATAATCTTACATCAGGTTTTTTAATAGGACTTCAAAGACTTTCTTTTGCTTCCTGTGCACTATTTGCCCAAAGCCTGGTATAATTGAACTACTCAGAAAGAAACAGCAGGAACATATTCAGTGAAAGAAACCAATTATTTTCTGAATTTGGAGTGGTTTGTTTGTTGAAGTTTTGTTCCCCCCCTCCTCAATGTAAGAGGAAATACTCTATACTTGACTGTTTATGTGCTGTTTTCAGCTTTTGATTCGTATTCGAGTGTGCAGTGTTAATATGTATCCCTGCTTTTCTCACTTCATGGTCCCTTACTATTTGAAATATGTGAGTAATGAACTTTTCGTCTTCATCTACCCAGTTTATGCTGTTGGTATGCGCTGGGCAGGACAAATAAGAGGAGGAACAAGAGGAGTTTGGCATCTATCCTGACCTTGGCAGCCAGTTATCAGCTTCAGGCTTATAGCTTGATAATTTATCAGACTATCAAAATACATTCCTTAACTGAACACCACAAGCACAACAAATGGAGTTTCAGTCTCACAGGCCATCTTTAATGCTTTTTTCAGAACCAGAGAATGTGGCTTTGGATAGCAGTAGTGTATGTGGTCTTAGAGTAAAGTAGACTTACTCTGAATGCTTGTTCTGGTGAATTGTTATGAGGTATTAATGTGGATGTTAAAATTATAATCCATGACTTGAAATGGTCCAGGAATGGAAGAGATAGCCACATAAAGCAATCAGGTTTTTAAATTGTTTTTCTGTACATTATATTAATTTTAAACTATACACTCGCTTGAAATACTGTACTAACCCAAACCCACATTCTAACCCTTAGAAAAAACGTTGCTTATTTTTTTTTTAAATAAATGTATTTTACTCGTATATCAATTTCCCCAAATGAGCATTTTGTCAAGTTTACCTTCTTGGACAGTCTCGTGCTAAAGGTGTAGATACATTTGGGGCAAGTAAGGTTTTTTTTTTTTTAAGAATTGATACTTTTTTCTTTTTTTTTCGCAAGGACACTTTAAATTGATTTTAAAAAAAGTAACAGTAAAACATTTATAGTGTTATAATGTTAGAATTAATGTTGTTCTTTTGAAATTTCTATTAATCAAAAAATACTTAAAGTATCACAGTTTCCAAAAAAATATTAAGCAGCATAACATTTTTCAACATTGATAATAATAATAAATGTTTCTTGAGCACCAAATCAGCATATCAGAATGATTTCTGAAGCATCATGTGACACTGAAGACTGGAATAATGATGCTGAAAATTCAGCTTTGCCACCACAGGAATAAATTACAGTTTATATTAAACTAGAAAGTTATTTTAAATTGTATTAAAGGGATAGTTCACCCAAAAATTAAAATTCTGTCATTAATTACTCACCCTCATGTCGTTTCAAACCCGTAAGAACTTCGTTCATCTTCGGAACACAAATTAAGATATTTTTGATGGAATCTGAGAGCTGTCTGACCCTCCATAGACAGCAACGCAACTGAAATGTTCCCAAGTCCAGAAAAGTAGCAAGGAGATCTGTAAAATAATCCATGTGACATCAGTGGTTCTACCGCAATTATACGAAGCTACGAGAATACTTTTTGTGCGCAAAACTTGGGAACATTTCAGTTGCGTTGCTGTCTATGCAGGGTCAGACAGCTCTCAGATTCCATCAAAAATATCTTAATTTGTGTTCCGAAGATGAACGGAGGTCTTACGGGTTTGAAACGACATGAGGGTGAGTAATTAATGACAGAATTTTCATTGTTGGGTGAACTAACCCTTTAATATTTCATAATATTACTCTTTTTACTGTATTTGATCAAATAAATGCAGCATGAGCATAAGAAACTTTCAATTACATAAAACATTTTACAGATTGTAGTGTATATTAGTCAAGACATCTCATAAATGCAATGGATTTATATAATAATTTAATGACTTTACTATACCTTCTACCTAAACCTAACCTTCAGAGTAATCGGTTGACATTATTGGACTTAAAATGAACTACAAGTTGGCTGATTTATAAGACTTTAAGATAGTGGGGGCCACCTTAATTTACCTTACAAGTCAGCTTTCAACATATCCCACTGTATTAGTGAAGACATTTTTACGTATTTAATATAGCCAAGCATATATACACACACAGGCTCTCTTTTTCCTTCTTGCAACTGGCTGAAATTACGGAATTTCTGTGACCTTTCACTGAGCACACAAGTCTTACTTAAGTTAGAAAATTAAACCTTTGTGAATCCCTCCCTGCATAACCCAACAGTGTTGATACTGAACTGCTATTAATTCTTCATTTTTTTTCATGACGTTGTAGTTAAAATGAATAGCTTCCTGACACTGATCACTATGTCATCCACCAAAACACATTTTTCTGAAACTATGATGCATTGGTAAACATGATGTAACCATTTCAGCCGCATGATTCGTGTTCACTATGGACGTGTGATAAGAGCGTCTGCAATTTAGTAATGTGTACAGTTGGAGTTCTGTAAACCTGTGAGGTCTAGTCACACGCATGTTATTCATAAGAACGCTTATTGTGCAACTGTTTGAAACACAAAGTTATGAAAAATGCCAAATACTTGATCGTAATCTGATCGTGTCAGGCTGAGTGAATGTGGTGCTTCTGCCTTGTTATCTTCCTGCCCTCCTCATTGCTACAGTATGAGGCCTGATCGGTGCTGGGAGATTGGGTGCCCTGTCAAATCAAACAAACTCTCTCTGTGTTAGCGCTCGGGTGGTTGGTGTTGATAAAAAAACGCCATGCTGATGGGAGAGGATTCGCAAGAACTAACACCAGCAAGAAGTGCTAATACATCTTCATTGCTTTGTCGATGAAGGACAAAACCATTTTGTGTCATTCTGAAAGCTGCATTCTTTTTACATGAAATAATTTGCAATAAGTGAGATTTTCTTTAAAACCTTTTATTTGGCAAGGACACTTTCAAATGATCAAAGGTGACAGTAAAGTTTTCTTTCTTTCTTTCTTTTTTCTTTTTTTGCTACAAAAATCTATTTCAAATAAATATTTTTTTTCTGTTCATCAAAGAATCTTGAACAGGTTAAATGTGAAAAGATGTGATTGTGAATTTTTTTTTACAGTTTACACAAAAATAATATATGTATATGAAAACAGCAACACTGATAATGATATGAAATGTTTCTTGAGCACCAAATCAGCATATTAGAGTGATTTATGTGGGATCATGTGAAACTGAAGACTGGACTAATGGCTGCTGAAAATTCAGCTTTGCCATCAACCGATAAATTACATTTTGAAATATATTAAAATAGAAAATAGTTTGAAACTACAATAATATTTAGCAATTTTAGTGCTTTTACTGGAT